CTTATTTAATTCGTGTGTTGTTGAAACGAACGAAGAATAGAAGTGAAGCAAAAGTAAAGTCCGTGATCCTAAAAAGTGTCATTTTTGGTCCTACCTAGTCACTTGTCGATCAACTATTTGAAATCAAGATTAAATTATTACTAATACTTCCACACTTATTCTATTATATTGTACGAGTGTATTAATATAATCAATACATAAATTCGAGCTTGAATTTTGATCAATGATATATAATCATTTTGATATTTTCCGTGGCCATTGATATATTTTCTCAACGACCATATATATATATTTAGGATCTTTGTGCTGATAAAATGTTTGAGTAGTTATTCTCAAAAACAAAAAAAATGTTTGAGTAGTTTTTTTTTTTTTGGGAAATTGGCAAAAATAACACAAAAAAAAATTATAACCTAAAAACTAACCAAAAACCACATATTCAATGCTCATGATTTTGCCACATACCCCATTTTTACTTACTTTTAATTTTTTTTTTTGGTTATACACTAAAATGACCCATTTTTTTTGGGTCACATGAGTAGTTTGTTATTACAAAAATATAATTGTTAGTAAAGTTTGACATGAAATTTTTTATGGTTTCTTCAGTTAAAATAAAACATATCTAAATTTTGGTGAGTTCCTATTGGCCACCTACCGCAAGTGGAACATAGAAAACTTTAGAAAAATATATAAGAATTTAATTATTTTTTATAAAGCAACACTCTTTTATTTTCAGAAGTATCCTTTAAAAATAAATTTTAATGAATATTATCGTCATTACATTATTTATTAAAATTGATAATTTATTCACATATATAACAATTTAATACATATATTGAGATTACTTATTTTAATTGAAAGAGGAAAAAATGGTATTTGATCACGAATCTAAAGATCTTTTTTATAAGTATAATTAATTTACCTTTAATGGTGATAGTTACGGTTCTTTGATGTTTTATAGTCTCTCCATTTTTTTTCCCACTAAAAAACTAAAATTTATGCATCATAGTTATTAAAAATATCAAAAAATACTTTTCGTATGGATCCTGCTGAAATTGCACGTTACAATTATGAATTAGATAGTATAATATATTTTATATATAGTCTCAGTGTAAGACAATGTTATATTTTAGGGGTTATATTCTAGAAGAAGAATTTCCAGATGTATCTAAAGGAAACTTTTGTACCATGAAGAGGCCCACACTTGTTGAGTCATGCCCGATTACAAAAGTTTTTTTAAAGCCTATAAAACATATAGTGTTGATAATTTTGTAATACAATGTATAAAATGGAATAGACAACCAATTATACTATCCTACATACGCATGACAAAGGGGGCAGAAGTTTGCTAATTTACTCTAAATATATTTAATTAATTTGCTAATTTACTCTAAATATATTTAATTAAACTTTGATGAAATCTAACTAGTATATATTATCTTAGACATACATTATATTCAGCATGCAACTTTACGTAATTTAGGTTTAATGAACAGCAAAATATCCACACATAAAAATGGATCCCTTTAT